GAGCTTGGGAGGTTCAGGCTACAGTGAGCTATGACTGTGCCTCTGCACTCCAGCCTGTGAGACAGAGCAGGATCATCGAGAGAGAGAGAGAGAGAGAGAGAGAGAGAGAGAGAGAAAGAGGGAGCCAGGTGCAGTGACTCTGGCCTGTGTAATCCCAACAAATTGGGAGGCCAAGGTGGGTGGATCACTTGAGGCCAGGAATTCAAGACAAGTCTAGGCAACATGGCAAAACCCTGTCTCTACTAAAAATACCCAAATTAGCTGGGTGTGGTGGTGCGTGCCTATAGTCACAGCTACTTGGAAGGCAGAGGCAGGAGAATTGCTTGAGCCCAGGAGGCTGAGTTGTGGCAAGCTGAGATTGTGCCATTGCACTCCAGCCTGGGTGACAGAGGAAAATTCTGTCTCAAGATAAAGAAAGAAAAAAGGAAGGAAAGAGAGGAAGAAGGAAAGGGAAAGAAAGAAAGAAAGAAAGAAAGAAAGAAAGAGAGAGAGAGAGAGAGACAGGGAGGGAGGAGGGAGGAGAGAAAGAAAGGAGGAAAGAAAGAAAGAGAAAAGAAGAAGGAAAGGAAGGGAGGGAAGGGAGGGAAGAAGGAAGGCAGGGAGGGAGGGAGGAAGGAAGGAAGAAAGAGAGGAGAAAGAGAGAGAAGAAGAAAGAAGAAAAGAAGGAAGGAAAGAAATAAAGACAAGAAAGAAAAGACAAAAGAAAGAAAGAAAGAAAGAAGAAGAAGAAAGAAAGAAAGAAAGAAAGAAAGAAAAAGAGAAAGAAAGAAGAAGGAAAGAAAAGAAGAGGAAGGAAGGAGAGAGAGAAGAAAGAAAGAAAGAAGAAAGGAGAAAGGAAGGGAAAGGGGAGAGGAGGAAAGAAAGGAGAGAGGCAGGAGGGAGGAAGGAAGGAAGAAAGAAAGGAGAGAGAGAAAGAAAGAAGAAAGAAAGGAAGGAAGGAAAAAAATAAAGAAAAAGAAAGAAAGAAAGAGGGAGGAAGGAAGGAAGGAAGGAAGGAGGAAGGAAGGAAGGAAGGAAGGAGGAAGGAAGGAAGGAAGGAAAGAAAGAAGAGAGAGAAAGGGGAAGGGGGAAAGAAAGAAAAGGCCTGTGCCCCCGAAGCCCCGCTCAGCGGCAGGAAAAATCCCATGGGCTGTCTTCTTCTTTAGGGCAGAGCCAGCCCCAGCTGTGATTACATCTACCTGAACTTGGTTTTTTTTTTTTTTTTTTTTTTTGAGACAGAGTCTCGCTCTGTCGCCCAGGCTGGAGTGCAGTGGCGTGATCTCGGCTCACTGCAACCTTCGCCTCCCTGGTTCACGCCATTCTCCTGCCTCAGCCCCCCGAGTAGCTGGGACTACAGACGCCCGCCACCACGTCCGGCTAATTTTTTTGTATTTTTAGTAGAGATGGGGTTTCACCATGTTAGCCAGGATGGTCTTGATCTCCTGACCTCATGATCCGCCTGCCTTGGCCTCCCAAACTGCTGGGATTACAGGCATGAGCCACCGCGCCCAGGTGTTATATGCAGATTTTCTACTGTGTAGGGGACCATTGTTCAAAAGTCACCTGTCCATCATTTTCAGAGGTGACCTGGGTGCTGAAGAATGACTCCTGGCCAGGTGCGATGGCTCACGCCTGTAATCCCAACGCTTTGGGAGGCTGAGGTGGGTGGATCACTTGAGCCCAGGAGTTTGAGATCAGCCTGGGCAACATAACAAAACCCTGCCTCTACTAAAAATACAAAAGTTAGCTGGGTATGGTGGTGCACACCTGTCATCCCAGCTACTAAGGAGGCTGAGCATGAGAATCACTTGAACTCGGGAGGTGGAGGTTGCAGTGAGCTGAGACTGCACCACTGCACTCCAGCCTGGGCGATACAGCGAGACTTTTCTCAGAAAAAAAGGACCCTAACAAAATAGCTGGGCATGGTAGTACATGCCTGTAGTCCCAGCTACTCAGGGGACTGAGGCAGGAGGATCACTTGAGCCTGGGAGGTGGAGGCTGCAGTGAGCCATGATCGTATTGCTGCACTCCAGCCTGGGCAACAGAGTGAAATCATGTCTCAAAAAATAACAAAAACAAAAACAAAAGCAAAAGTGACTCTCACCTTCCTTAGCTTAGACTTGTGGTTCTCAACAAGAGTGATTTTGTTCCCAAAGAGACACTGGGCAATGTCTGGAGACGTTTTTGGTTGTCACAGCTGGGAAGTGGGAGTGCTACTGGCATCTAGTTGGTGAGAACCAGACGTGCAGCTCAATATCCTGCAATGCACAGGATGCCCCCTACCCCCCCAACAAAGAAGGATCTAGTCTGAAACATCTGTAGTGCCGAGGCAGAGGAAACACTTCGCCGGTTGTGAAATCGTCCCCAGCATGGACGGCTTCTGTTCTCCCCAGAATTGAGGCTTCATCTTCTCAGAGGTCCTGCTGGCTGGGGAAGGGCTCCCCAGCAGCGGAGCCTACCGAGATCTGGTGGTGTCTTTTTTTTTTTTTTTGGTTTGTTTTTTGAGACAGAGTTTTGCCCTGTTGCCCAGGCTGGAGTGCAATGGCACGATCCCGGCTCACTGCAACCTCCACCTCCTGGGTTCTAGTGATTCTCCTGCCTCAGCCTCCTGAGTAGCTGGGATTACAGGCACACGACGCTACGCCCGGCTAATTTTTTGTATTTTTAGTACAGACAGGGTTTCTCCATGTTGGTCAGCCTGGTCTCGAACTCCCAACCTCAGGTGATCCGCCCACCTCAGCCTCCCAAAGTACTGGGATTACAGGCGTGAGCCACCGCGCCCGGCTAATCTGTGGTGTGGTGTCTATGGCTGCTCTCAGGCTGACAGTACAGCTCTTCCAAGACCTGTCATTAAATGTCTGGTCTTAGGGTAGGCTCAAGCCTATGGCCCATCTCCATCAGCCTTGAAGGCCACCAAGCTGCAGCTTCTCAATAATCCTGGGAAGAGTGTGCCTGTTGACAGGGAACTGCAGAGTCTTACAACCTATAGGGGAGATTCGTTCATGGACTTGGGCTCACAGAATTGGACTAGAGGACCTGTTCTCTCAGGGATCCTTGTCACTAAGGCAGAGAACTTTCCAGACAATGGAGTCTGGCAAAACCCAGTTCAAACAGCATCCATTGATCACCGCGTCAACCCCCAGTCTCTCTCCAGATTGGAGACCCAATCTCATAAGTAACCCTATTCCTAGGGAGTGATCGATAGGGCAGAGTGAGGCTTATGGCTATGGTCTTGGCACATGGCCAGGTCTTTCCAAAGTCTAAGCTCCAAACTTCTTCAAGTATCCCATTGATTAATGCAAGATGATACAACCACATTAGGAAAAAAAAAAGGAGGGGGGCAGTTAGACATATAGTTCCCACGTGATCCCTCAGTACCACTACCGGGTATAGACCCAAGAGAAATACAAACATACGTCCACACAAAACCTGTCCACAAACATTCCTAGTGGCATTACCCGTAATAGTCAAAAGTGGAAACTACTCAACTGATCCATCAACTGGATCAGGGAATGGATAAAAATGAATGGATGGACCAGGTGCGGTGGCTCACGCCTGTAATCCCAACACTTTGGGAGGCAGAGGCAGGAGGATTACTTGAGGTCAGGAGTTTGAGACCAGCCTGGCCAACATGGCAAAACCCTATCTCTACTAAAAGTATAAAAATTAGCTGGGTGTGGTGGGGGGCGTCTATAATCCCAGCTACTCAGGAGGCTGAGGCAGGAGAATCACTTGAACCCAGGAGGTGGAGGCTGCAGTGAGCCAAGATCACACCACTGCATTCCAGCCTGGGCGACAAGAGTGAAACTCTGCCTCAAAAAAATAAAAAATAAAAAATAAAAAGTTAGCCAAGCATGGTGGCATATGTCTGTAATCCCAGATACTTGGATGGCTGAGGCACAAGAATTGCTTGAATCCTGGAGGCAGAGGTTGCAGCGGGCAGAGATTGCACCATTGCACTCCAGCCTGGGCGACACAGTGAGTCTCAAAACAAAAACAAAAACAAAAACAAAACAAATTATGCTCAGTGAAAGTGGCCAGTCACAAAGAAACACATCATGTATGATGGCATTTTTTTTTTTTGTTTTTGAAACAGGGTCTCGTTCCTTCACCCAGGCTGGAGTGCAGTGGCCCCGATCATAGTTCACTACAGTCTCAAACTCCTGGGCTCAAGTGATCCTTCTGACTCAGCCTCCCTTGTAGCTAGGACTACAGGCGCACACCACCATGGCTGCCTAATTTTTTAAAATGTAGAGACGGGGTCTCACTGTGTTGCCCAGACTGGTCTCGAACTCCTGAGCTCAAGTGATCCTTCCACCTCAGCCTCCCAAAGTGCTGGGATTCCAGACATGAGCCACTGTGCCCATTCTATGATTGCATTTTAATGAAATATCCCGGAGAGGCAAATCTCTGGAGATTGAAGGTGGATGAGAGATTTCCGAGGACTGGGGGCTGGGGAATGGGAGAACTAGGGGGTGATGGTTCAGCGGGGTGAGCTTTCTGTTGGGGGTAATGAAAATGTTCTAAAATCGATAGTGATGATGGTTGTACAACGTTGTGAATATAAGGAGAGTCATTGACTTGTACCTATAAGTGGTGAGTTGTGGATGGGGGTGGTGTCTCACACCTGTAATCCCAGCACTTTGGGAGCCTGAGGCGAGTGGATTACCTGAAGTCAGGAGTTCGAGACCAGCCTGGCCAACATGGTGAAACTCCATCTCTACTAAAAATCCAAAAATTAGCCGGGCATGGTGGCACGTGCCTGTAATTCCAGCTACTCAGGAGGCTGAGGCAGGAGAATCACTTGAACCCGGGAGGCAGAGGTTGCAGTGAGCCAAGATCATGCTACTGCACTCCAGCCTGGGCAACAAGAGTGAAACTCCATCTCAAAATATAAAATAAAAACGATGTTTCAAAGGAAATGAGAAACAAAAGAGTCTCATTGATTTCCTCACAACGGGGCCTGATGGGGTCTACTGAGCATTTCATCGTAGCTGCCTGGCCCACATGGCTCCGCTCACCTGCAGTCTCAGTGTGGCAGGTCACAGAGGGAGACGCAACCCTCATTCCATCCCAGATGGTCGTGATGGTGGCTGGGTAGGACTGAGCAGGCCCAAGACCTGACACAGACACACCCTTCCCACATGAAGATCTGTTCTGGGAGCGCTGCTGTCCTCCCACCTCCAACTCAAAGGCCTCGTAGCCTCCCTGGGGGCAGGACCAGGTTAAGATGACTCCATAGCCTCCTGAAGTGCTGACGCAAGTGATGGTGACTGCATCTGGGTCTGGGTGAAGGAAGCAAGAGGTCAGCAGCGCCATCCAGGGTGGTTTTCCACCCCCTCCACCCCTACCCCCACTACTCAGGCCAGTTTTCTGAGAGGAGCCCATCCCTTCCTCCCCAAATCCAAATTCCTCATCTTCCCTCCTTTTCTGTCCTCCCCAAATGGATACAAGTCCCTCCAAACTACAACTCCCATGAGGCCTTGGGCTCCTCCATCACTGCAGCTCATGAAGTCATGGCCCGTGGCCTGATGGGATTTGTATTCCATTCATCTCTCAGCCCTCAAGGCCTGAGCTAAGCCCAGTTCACCACGTGAAGGCAGGAAGGGGAGTCTCACATGTGGACGCACGGAGGCTCTGCATGGAACTGGCTACGTCATTCCTCTCTGCCCACACGGTGAAGTTGTACAGAGTCCCGGGTTCCAGCGCCTCCACCTTGTACTGTGTCTCATTGGTCCTGCGGGTCTGGTTGGTCCAATTTGCTCGGGGATATTGCCCCCTCTGGGGATGTCCCTCGCTGGCCCACTGGACCCAGTATATGTACAGCTGAAAGTGGGGGTCTCCAGGGGCCTTCCACCACAGCGTGACTGAGTTCTTAGTCTGAGTTTTATTCTGGAGATCTGTTACCTCACTGGGAGCTGAGAAGTGAGAACAGAGGCCTAAGGGGGTATCCTCGAAGACCCTCCTACCCTAGCCTGCCTGCCTCTCCCCCACAGCAAAGCTGAGATACCCATTATTGATGGCTCCAGTGACTAAGGAGGCTGAACCACAGGAAAGAGCCTAGACACCCAAAGATTGTGGGGACCAGAATCTCCTAGCCCTCTCCGTCCCTTGGCTACAGCCCTGGGTCCCACCCTGTCATCTTTTTGTTCTTCCCAAATGCACACCAATCCCACCCACTGAAACTACAACTCCCATGAGGCCACAGACTCTCTGTATCGCTGCAGCTTATGAAGTCATGGCTCCATGGTGTGATGGGATTTGTAGTCCACCACCTCTCAGGGCCCTTGAGATCTGATCTCTGTATTTTCTTTTCCACAGGAACCCCAGGTAGGGTGCCTTCTCACTCTAGATACATCACCTTTCTAGAGGGAGTTGACAAATTTCATCTTTTTAGCCCAAATGACCAAGGATTGAAGAGTTCCAGGTTCAGGCTAGGCATGGTGGCTCACTCCTATAATCTCAGTGCCTAGGGAGGCCAAGGCAGGAGGATCACTTGAGCCCAAGAGTTCGAAGTTCGAGACCAGCCTGGGCAACATAATGAGACCCTGTCTCTACAAAAAATAATGTTTTAAATGAGCTGGGCATGGTGGCTCACGCTTGTGGTCCCAGCTACTCAGGAGGTTGAGATGGGAGGATCACTTGAGCCCAGGAGGTCGAGGCTGCAGTGAGCCATGATCATACCACTGCACTCCAGCCTGGGCAACAGAGCAAGACCCTGTCTCAAAAAAAAAAAAAAAAAAAAAAAAAAAAAAAAAAAAAAAAAAAGAATGAACCTATGAACCTAGTCTCCAGAGTGATTTTGATTTTTCTCATGAGTGGGACCCACCGTGCCTAGGCTGAGAGATGGGGCCTTCTTGGTTCATCTAATTCCCTGGGACCAGCTGTTGGCTATTGTCCAGCTGGTGACTGTCAGCTCCTGAGAGGTGGTTCTGGACAACTGAGGGCTCTCCCTGACCCCAAAGAGCCCATTTCCCAAAGGGAGAAAAAACAGGTCCTACAGCTTGGAAAGCCCTGTCGGCTAAGAAACGACACCCACTAGGAATGGGGCCTATAGGTTTAAGCTCCGGCCGGGGAGGCTGGAGGGGCCCATGGGTACTCTTCGTCTCCAAGGAGCTCCCAAAGTCCCTTCCTATTCTCCCTTCCCCCATCCTAATAGAGTTGTATTCAGAACCGACTGTGGCTCACCAGTGGCTGCAGTGAGGGTGCTGTTATAGCCTCTGACCTCATTCCTCTCGGCCCAGACGGTGAGGTGGTACAGGAGGCCAGCTTCCAGTTCCTTCAGAATGAGTTCAGTATCTGAGGTGTTTTGGGTCCTGGGGTCAGTCATGCCCTCTCCAATCCATGAGACCCAGTAGGTGTAGGAAGCCTGGCCTGGGCCCTGGGGAGCTGTCCAGCGCAACGCAATAGAGCTGTTGGTCCTGTCCTGCCTGCTGAGGCTTCTCACTGCGTTGGGGACTGGGAGAGGGAGCAGAGTCAGGACTTCCACGTCCCCTAGTCCCCAAGAGTCCAGAACACAGTGATATGCCCTGTCCTTGTGCAGCCCAGCTCATTAAGAAATACTTCCTGGCAGGGCACGGTGGCTCAGGCCTGTAATCTCAGCACTTTGGGAAGCTAAACCGGGAGGACTGCCTGAGCCTGGGAATTTGAGACCAGCCTGAGCAACATAGTGAGACCCTAGCTCTACTGAAAATCAAAACAAATTAGCTGGGCACAGTAGCACATGCCTGTAGTCCCAGCTACTAGGGAGGCTGAGGTGGGAGGATCGCTTGAGCTTGGGAGGTTCAGGCTACAGTGAGCTATGACTGTGCCTCTGCACTCCAGCCTGTGAGACAGAGCAGGATCATCGAGAGAGAGAGAGAGAGAGAGAGAGAGAGAGAGAGAGAGAGAGAGAGGGAGAGAGAAAGAGAGACCAGGTGCAGTGACTCTCGCCTGTAATCCCAACAAATTGGGAGGCCAAGGTGGGTGGATCACTTGAGGCCAGGAATTCAAGACAAGTCTAGGCAACATGGCAAAACCCTGTCTCTACTAAAAATACCCAAATTAGCTGGGTGTGGTGGTGCGTGCCTATAGTCACAGCTACTTGGAAGGCAGAGGCAGGAGAATTGCTTGAGCCCAGGAGGCTGAGTTGTGGCAAGCTGAGATTGTGCCATTGCACTCCAGCCTGGGTGACAGAGGAAAATTCTGTCTCAAGATAAAAGAAAGAAAAGAAGGAAAGAAGGAAAGAAGGAAAGGGAAAGAAAGAAAGAAAGAAAGAAAGAAAGAAAGAAAGAAAGAAAGAGAGAGAGAGAGAGAGAGAGAGAGAGAGAAAGAAAGAAAGAAAGAAAGAAAGAGAGAGAGAGAGAGAGAGGGAGGGAGGGAGGGAGGGAGGAAGAGAAAGAAAGGAGGAAAGAAAGAAAGAGAGAAAGGAAGGAAGGAGGGAAGGGAGGAAGAAAGGAAGGCAGGGAGGGAGGGAGGAAGGAAGGAAGAAAGAGAGGAGAAAGAGAGAAAGAAAGAAGAAGAAAAGAAGGAAGGAAAAAATAAAGACAAAGAAAGAAAGACAAAGAAAGAAAGAAAGAAAGAAAGAAAGAAAGAAAGAAAGAAAGAAAGAAAGAAAGAAAGAAAGAAAGAAAGAAGGAAAAGAAAAGAAGGAAGGAAGGAAGGGAGAGAGAAAGAGAAAGAGAGAAAGAAAGAAAGAAAGAAAGAGAGAAAGGAAGGAAAGAGGGAAGGGAGGAAGAAAGGAAGGCAGGGAGGGAGGAAGGAAGGAAGAAAGAAAGGAGAGAGAAAGAAAGAAGAAAGAAAGGAAGGAAGGAAAAAAATAAAGAAAAAGAAAGAAAGAAAGAGGGAGGAAGGAAGGAAGGAAGGAAGGAAGGAAGGAAGGAAGGAAGGAAGGAAGGAAGGAAGGAAAGGAGGAGGAAAAGGAAGGGGGAAGGGGGAAGAAAAGAAAAAGGCCTGTGCCCGAAGCCCCCGCTCAGCGGCAGGAGACGTCACATGGGCTGTCTTCTTTAGGGTGAAACCAGCCCCCAGCTGTGATTACATCTACCTGTGAACTTGGAGAGGGGGATGTCACAGGCTCAGTGAGGCTGAAGAGCCTACGGACTACAGGCCCAGAAACCCAGAGGTGCCTTCCGCTGCTGCGGTTCTGAACCTCTCACCCAAAACAGGAGTGGGCACTGGGGTTCCACCTGTGGAGATGCTGAATTCTGCCTGGAGCCACGTGCTCCATTTTTTCTGCCCACTTGAGAGAATGTACAAGGTTCGGGTTCGAGTCCCTCAGCTGTCACATTGGCCTTTGTTGTTTGGTTCTCAGTTCACCACCGTCTCCAGTGTACTCTACCCAGTAGATGTGAGTCCTGAAGATCTGGGCCGCCAGGGGACTTCCCAGATCAGGGCGATGGAGCTGTTGGTCACGGAGTCTTCATGTGGAGGTTTCTCACTGGGTTGGGGGCACAGAGGAGTAGGAAGAAGATTCTATGTGGGCAGGGAATGCAGAACAAATGGGGCAGGTGGGTCCCTCACACTGCCCTCATGGTCTTAGCTCTTGTTCAACTGCTGGTGCCAGCAGGCCTTGAGGTGTATGTTCTGGGCCGTGTTTCTCAAACTTTAATGTCCAGGCGCAGTGACTCGCGCCTGGTAACACTTTGGGAGGCTGAGGCAAGTGGATCAGGAGTTCAAGACCAGCCCGGGCAACGCATGGTCCAGCGGGGTTTAGTAGAAGCGCTGTCTCGGCCGGGCGCAGTGGCTCACGCCTGTAATCCCAGCACTTTGGGAGGCAGAGGCGGGTGGATCACCTGAGGTCGGGAGTTCGAGACCAACCTGGTCCAACATGGGTGAAACCCCTTCTCTACTAAAAATACAAAAATTAGCCAGGCGTGGTGGCAGGTGCCTGTAATCCCAGCGACTCGGGAGGCTGAGGCAGGAGAATCGCTTGAACCCAGGAGGCAGAGGTTGCAGTGGTGAGGGATGGCACCTGCACTTGGCCTGGGGACAAGAGTGAGACTTCATCTCAAAAAAAAAAAAAAAAAAAAAGAAAAAAACACTGTCTCTACTAAAAATACAAAAGTTAGCCAGGCATGGCGTGGCGTGTGCCTGTAATTCCAGTTACTCAGGAAGCTGAGGCATGAGAATCGCTTGAACCCAGGAGGCAGAGGTTGCAGTGAGCCGAGATGCTTCCACTGCACTCCAGCCTAGGAGACAGAGTGAGACTCCATCTCAAAAAAAAAAAAAAAAAACACTGTCTCTACTAAAAATACAAAAAGTTAGCCAGGCATGAAAAGTGGCGGTATACCTGTAATTCCAGTTACTCAGGAAGCTGAGGCATGAGAATCGCTTGAACCCAGGAGGCAGAGTTTGCAGTGAGCTGAGATTGCACCACTGCACTCCAGCCTGGGCAACAGGGCAAGACTCTATCTCAAAAAAAAAAAAAAAAGAAAGAAAAAGAAAAACAGAAAAAAGAACAAAGAAAAACTTCCAAGTATTGTGCACATCTCACGGGAGGATCTCTCTCGTTGAATGCGGGTTCAGAGCAGTGGGTCTGGGGGTGGCGCCGATCATTTCCAGTCAGCTCCCTGGAACACTGATGCAGCTCACCACGTGGGTCCTCATTTGAGTAGCACTATGGCCTCCTCCATATATGTCCCCTTCCACAAATCCTCAAGCTTTGAAACTAATCTATCTCCGTGGAATAGCATTAAAGAGGTACAGGGCCCTTGTAAGATTATATCGGGTGAAGCCTTGCTATGCCTGGAAGTCATACTGAGAGGCCCATGGCTGACACAGGTACTCGCCTGTAACTCAGCAGTTTGGGGCGGAGGAGTTTGGGGAGAGGGTGTTTGAGGCCAGGAGTTAGAACCAGCCTGGACCACACAGCAAGACCCTCATCTCTAAAAAAAATAAATTAGTTGAGCATCTGTAGTCCTGCTGCTTGGGAGGCTGAGGGTGGGCAGATGGCTTCCCAGCCCAGGAATTTCAGGCCGCAGTGAGCTCTGATCCTGCCACTGCCTCCAGCCTGGGTGACAAGGCGAGACTCTGGCTAAAAAAATAATAATAAGAGAGAATCAAAGGAGCTTTGTGTGGTGGTGAAGATGGCCTCTGACTTTCAATATGGTAGGCATTGCTTACAAGTGGAGGATGAAGGGGGTTTGAGGCCTCAACAGGCCTTTTGAGCACACGAGAAATGGCAAACTGAATTTTGCAATTTCATACCAACTTTAATGAGTTTAAATCTAACCAACACGTGTGGCTAGCGGCTCATATTGGACAATGGAGGTGTGTAGACACAGAGAGCTGACAGATCAGCCACATGGAGCTGACGATCTGAGTTTCCATCACTCAATATGCCCAGCTACAGTTGGGAACTAGAAGAAGAGTCAGAGGTCAGAGGTGTCCCCTGCAGTATCTCATTCCTTGAAAAGCTCAGGTAACATGCCTTGGCCCCTACACATTCACACCTCGGTTGCAGGAAGATGCTCCTGGGCATTATGGTCCACATTCTAGAGAGTTCTAGACACAGACCGGCCCTAGCTTCACAGCTGGAGGTACCATGGACATTCATTCCTTCTTCATCTCCTGAGCTGAGGACTGCCCCCAGATGTGGACATGGGTACCTGGCTCAGTGTGGCCCAGAGGGACTATGGACCGAACAATGCGGCCCGTTCTCCTGCCTACCGTCCTTAAACAAATAAGAGATCAAACAAATGGCGACTGCCTCACCTGTGGTAGCATTTCCAGTCTCGGGAGGCTGGTGATTCAATGCCTCACCCACCACCGGGGAAAACACATTACAAAAGACCGGGTTCCAAGTCCATCACGGTGATGTTGGTGCCTGTTGTGCTTGAGTCGCTTCTGTCACCGTCTCTGGTGTAATATTCCAGCAGTAGGTGGAGTTCTGTGGGTCTGGGCCATCGCGGGGCCTCCCAGGTCAGGGGCGAGCTGTTGAGGACTGACCCTCCACTGTCAGGTTTCTCACTGGGTTGGGAGCTGAAAACCAGTACAGGAGGGGAAATGAGTTGTAGTTTCTGGCCCTTGAACTTTTAGCCGATCATATATGGATCCAGCAGGTGGAGGCAGGGAGGCCAGCTCTGCACTGTCCAGTGTGGCAGCCACGAGTTCCATGTGAGTGTTGAGCACTCGTGATGTGGCTTTGCAGAAATGAGATGAGTCATTAGTGTGAGATCCACACCAGCTTTTGAAGAAGCTGGTGTAAGAGTGAAATATCAACTATCTCATTGATCCTTTTTATATATTTTTTATTTTTAGGTATATTGATTGTATGTATTTAATAGTGCTTTTTATATTGATTACATGTCAAAATGGTAATATTTTGTATCTGCTGGGTGTGGTGGCCTACCTCCTAATCCCGCACTTTGGGAGGCCAGAGGCAGGTGGATCACCTGAGGTCAGGAGGTTGGAGACCAGCCTGGCCAACATGGCAAAACCCCGTCTCTACTAAAAATACAAAAAGTTAGCCAGGCATGGTGACGTGCCTGCAGTCCCAGCTAGGGATGTGAGACAGGAGAATTGCTAGAACCCAGGAGATGGAGGTTGCAGTGAGTCAAGATCATGCCACTGCATTCAGAGCTGGGAGACAGAGAGAGACTCCTCTCAAGAAAACAAAAATGTATCTGATGGACTACATAAAATGTCTCATAGTAATTTAGTTTATTTGTTTCTCCTTTCCTTCCTTCCTCCTCCCTCCTCCCTCCCTCCTCCTCCTCCCTCCCTCCCCCTCCCTCCCTCCCTCCTCCCTCCCTCCCTTCCTTCCTTCCTTCCTTCTTCCTTCCTTCCTTCCTTCCTTCTTCCTTCCTTCCTTCCTTCCTTTCTTTTTTTTTTTCCAGACAGAGTTCTCTCTGTTGAGGCTGGAGTGCAGTGGTCCAGTCAGAGCTCACTGCAACCTCTGCCTCCTGGGCTCAAGCGATCCTCACACCTCAGCCTCCCGAGAGAGTGAGACCACAGAGACATGCCACCACAACTAAGTTTTTATTTTTTTTTGGAGGAGCAGGCTGACCAGTTTCTTTTTACTATTTTTATGTGGCTGATAGAAAATGAAATTCTCATGTGCTTGGCTTCTGTGTTTTCGATTGGACCCAAAGAACCTGTCGCATTTTGTCGAGGCTCTAACCCACCACTACCACTGTCCTTACAAAAGAAATAAAATAAAGCCAGTGGCTCCCTCTTACCTGTGGCAGTAGCGACCCAGTCTCCACGAGCCTATTTACTCCGTGTTTCTCCCACCCACACAGAAAACATGTACAATGACCGGGTTGAAGTCCATCCCTTGGTGGCGTTGGTGTCTGTTGTGGTTTTGTGTCTCGGTTCTACAGTCTCAGTACACTGAACCCAGTAGGTGAGTTCTGCAGCCAGATTTAGACCACTCAGAGGACCTCCCACCTCAGGGAGATGGAGCTGGTGGTCTGAGCCTCCACTCTCCAGGTTTCTCCTGGGTTGGGGGCTGAAATTAGGAAGAAGATGTTCTAATGAGCAGGACACAGAAGACAGGGGCAGCTAGGGAACTTTTTGTTTGTTTGTTTTAGAACAGAGTCTCGGTCTGTCATCAGGCCATAGTGCAGTGGCACAATCTCGGCTCACCACAACCTCCGCCGCCCGGGTTCAAGCAATCCTCCTGCTTTAACCTCCCGAGTAGGTGGGACTACAGGTGTGCACCACCACACCCGGCTAATTTTTATGTCTTTTCACCATATTTGGCCAGGCTGGTCTTGAACTCCGGTCCTCAAGTGATCCTCCCACCTCGGCCTCCCAAAGTGCTGGGACTACAGGCATGAGGCAATGTGCCCGGCCAAGTGGCCATTTTTGATCATCAAACTTCCTAGTTCTCCCTCAACAGCTGGTGTAGTAGCTGCAGGGTGTATGGTCTGGACCAGTGCTTCTCGTCGCCGCTGTGTACATCTCACAGGGGACCTTATCCTGAAAAGCAGGTTCTCCTCAGCAAGGCTAGAGGATGGAGCTGAGGGTCAGCCCTCCCCCGACCCTTTTTTTTCCCCGCCCAGTGTCACTTGCCAATATATTTCAGATAGATCTCAGAGACATGGATGCCACCTACACGGACCACGTTTTGAGTAGCAGGACCTGAGTCAGGTTTGGCGCTTTTGAAGTGAGTTTCTACAGTGATGAAAATGCTCTCCCTTCCAAAGTATGAGTAGGAGAAGAGAAGGAAATGGAAAGCCGTTCTTGGGACTTTCTTACTCTTTTCTTTTTGGCATTCAGGCTGGAGTGCAGTGGCGCCATCTCGGCTCACTGCAGCTCCGCCTCCCGGGTTCACGCCATTCTCCTGCCTCAGCCTCCCAGTAGCTGGGACTACAGGCGCCGCCACCACCGCCGGCTAATTTTTTGCTTTTTAGTAGAGACGGGGTTTCACCGTGTTAGCCAGGATGGTCTTGATCTGCTGACCTCGTGATCCACCCGCCTCGGCCTCCCAAAGTGCTGGGATTACAGGCGTGAGCCACCGCGCCCGGCCTCAACAGGGCTTTCAAACATATGAAACATGAAGTGAATTTGCAGTTTCATACCACTTTGTGGTTTAAATCTAATAGCCACGTGTGGCTAGTAAGCTCTTTCCATATTGGACAATGGAGGTGTAGACAGGAGCTGACCATATCAGAGCCATGGAGCTGGCAGTCTGGGTTCCATCCTCAATATAGCGGCTGGTTGGGAACTAGAAAGAAGAGTCAGAGAGGTCCATATGTCCCCACTCACAGTATCATTCGCTTGAAAGCTCCAGGTAACATGCCTTGGCCCTACACATTCCTGTTGGTGCAGGAAGATGCTCCTGGGCGTATGGTCCACATTCTAGAGTTCTAGACACAGACCGCCCTAGCCACAACTGGAGGTACCATGGACATTCATTCCTTCTTCATCTCCTAGGCTAGAGACTGCCCCAGATGTGGACATAGATTTTCTGGCTCAGTGTGGCCCAGAGGACTATGGACAGACAATCGGCCCGTTCTCCTGCCTACCGTCCCTTAAACAAATAAGAGATCAAACAAATGGCTGACTCCCCCTCTCACCTGTGATGCTTGTTTCCAGTCTCCCGGAGCTGTTGATTCCATTCTTCTCCACCCCGGAAAACCATTACAAAAGACCGGGTTCAAGTCCATCACGGTGATGTTGGTGCCTGTTGTGCTTTGAGTCTCCTTCTGCACGTCTGGTGTGTTGGCCCAGTGGTGAGTTCTGTCAGGTCAGGCCCTTCGGGGCCTCCCAGGTCAGGCCGAGGAGCTGTTGGTTTTGAAGCCCTCACCTGTCAGATTTCTCACTGGGTTGGGAGCTGAAAACCAGTACAGGAGGAAGCTAGAGTTGTAGTTTCTGGCCCTCTCGAGACTTTCCAGCCCTTCTTTAACCACTGGTTCCAGCAGGTGGAGGCAGGGAGGCCCAGCTCTGCACTGTCAGTGTAGCGGCCACCCCAGTTCCATGTGAGTGTTGACATCATGATGTGGCTTTTGCGAAATGAGATGAGCCATTAGTGTGAGATCACGGTTTTGAAGAGTTGGTCTGAAATTAAGAATGTTTACTATCTCATTAATCCTTTGTATATCTATATTTTTTGTGGGTATGTACTTGGTGTATATATTTAATGATTCTTTTTATATTGATTACATGTCAAAGTGATAATATTTTGCTGTCTGCTGGGTGTGGTAACTCACACCTGTAATCGCAATTTGGGAGACCAAGGCAGGCAGGTCACCTGAGGTCAGCAGTTCGAGACCAGCCTGGCCAACATGGCGAAACCCCATCTCAAGTAAAAATACAAAAGTCGGCCGGGCGCAGTGGCTCAAGCCTGTAATCCCAGCACTTCGGGAGGCCAAGATGGGCGGATCACGAGGTCAGGAGATCGAGACCATCCTGGCTAACACGGTGAAACCCCATCTCTACTAAAAAAATACAAAAACTAGCTGGAGTGTGGTGGCGGGCGCCTGTGGCCCCCAGCTACTTGGGAAAGGCAGGCAGGAGAACAACGAGAACCTGGGAGGCGGAGCTTGCAGTGAGCTGAGATCCGGCCACTGTACTCCAGCCTGGGCGACAAGTGAGGCTTCCGTCTCAAAAAAAAAAAAAAAAAACAAAAGTCCAGCCGGCCCCACGGTGACACGTCTGTAATCCCAGCTACTTGAGAGGCTGAGGCAGATCGCTTGAACCTGGGAGGCAGAGGTTGCAGTGAGTCAAGATCATGCCACTGCACTCCAATCTGGGCGACAGAGCGAGACTCTGTCTCAAAAAAAAAAAAAAATGTATCTGATGGACTACATAAAATGTCTCATAGTAATTTAGTTTGTTTCTTTCTCTTTCTTTCTTTCTTTTTCTTTTTTTGTTTGTTTTAGTGTTGTTTGTTTGTTTTGTTTTGAGAGCGGAGTCTGGCTCTGTCACCCAAGGCTTTGGAGTGCAGTGGCCGGATCTCTACCATGCTGGCTCTCCTCCCGGGTTTCGCCATTCTCCTGCCTCAGCCTCCCAAGCATGCTGGGACTACAGCATCCCTCTGCCCGACTGAATTTTTGTACTTTTTAGTAAGCGGGGTTTCACCGTGTTAGCCAGGATAGTCTCGATCTCCTGACCTCGTGATCCGCGCATCTCGGCCTCCCAAAGTGCTGGGATTACAGGCTTGAGCCACCGCGCCCGGCCTGTTTGTTTTGTTTTTGAGACAGGATTTCTGTCTGTTGCCCAGGCTGGAGTGCAGTGGTCCAATTAGAGCTCACTGCAACCTCTGCCTCCCGGGTTCAAGCGATCCTCTCACCTCAGCTGCCCAAGGAGAAGGAACCACAGGAACAGGCCACCACAGCTAATTTTTAAATTTTTTTGGAGAGACAGGCTGACCAGTTTCTTTTTACTTATTTTTATGTGGCTGATAGAAAAATTGAAATTCTCATGTGTGGCTTCCACTGTGTTTCGATTGGACTAAAGAACCTGTCGCATTTTATCAGCTTTCAACCCAGCCCCTACCACTGTCCTTACAAAAGAAATAAAAGTAAAACAGTGGCTGCCTCTTACCTGTGGCAGTAGTAACAGTCTCCACAGAGCTATTTTCTCCATCTTTCTCCACCCACACAGAAAACGTGTGTACAATGGCCAGGTTGAAGTCCATCACGGTGATGTTGGTGTCTGTTGTGTTTTGTGTCTCTCTGTTCTGTCACCGTCTCCAGTGCACTGAACCCAGTAGGTGGAGTTCTGTGGGTCATCGGGGACCTCCCAGCTCAGGGAGATGGAGCTGGTGGTCTGAGCCTCCACTGTCAGGTTTCTCACTGGGTTGGGGGCTGAGAATTGGGAAGGAGGGTCCGCTGAAAAGAGACCAGGTCTGTACCATCCCTCCCAACCCCTTGGGCTCGTGCCCCGAGTCCAGGCAAGCAGCGCTCATAAGCCCTACCATGGACCACTGGGCCCCACGCGGACGCCCCAGAGGTTCATGGCAGTTTACCAGACCCACCTCTTCGAGTGGGCAGTGAGTTCAGGCAGGGTCACTCACCGGTCGCCCTGGTCCCTGTCCAGCTGCACAGGCCCTGGAGGAACCCAGAAAACGGAGTCAGCCTCTCAACCTCCTCCGCCAAGAGATGAGGCTGCGGGGCTGGGAGGAGCGGCTGGTCCCGCCCATGAGTCACCCTTGCACAGAGGTGGGGCCCCGTTAGGTTGGCTGTCTGAGTCACCCCAAACACCATCTTTCCTGGGTCGAAGGGGAGCACGGCAGGGGCGGAGTCGGGGGCTGGGGTTGGCTCCACCCAAGAAGGCCGAGAGATAAAATTAATGATTTCATTTCCCGAAATATATGGCCTTGGAAAACCGAGGGCAGAGAGCAATGAACACACTGGGAAGAGAAAAAACCAGGTTGGGGAACAGGAACCTTGGCCTGAGGGTGGAGGCCTGGGGCCTGGGTCTGAGGAGTGGAGGGCTGGGGATCTGGACTCCTGGGTCCTGAGGGTGGGAGGGGCTGGGATCTGGACCCCTGGTTTGAGGGAGGAGAGGCTGGGGGGCGCGGACTCCTGGGTCTGAGAGAGAGAGAGGTTGGGGATCTGGACTCCTGGGTCTGAGGGAAGACGGGCTGAGGGTCTGGACTCCTAATCTGAGGGAGGAGGGGCTGGGGTCTGGACTCTGATCTGAGGAGGAGGGGCTGGGGTCTGGACTCTCCTAGTCTGAGGAGGAGGGGCTGGGGGGTCTGGACTCTTAGTCTGAGAAGGAGGGGCTGCTCCTGTCCGTCCAGTCATTGTGAGCACAGCTGTGTGTCGCCTGAAGCCAGTGTCCCCTGCCTTAGACACAACAGCGTCCTAGAGGCTGGAAGTGAAGCTGGTGTCTCGAAGCAGACACCGCAGTGTCTAGAACCCAGGTGAAGCCAGTGTCCCGCCCAGCAGACATGGCAGTATCTAGGAGTCCCAGTGAAGCCCGATTGTCCCGCAGCAGACACAGCAGTCTCTAAAAATAAGACTCTCCTACAGTTTCTGCCAAGCCTGAAGCCCCTCTTGCCTTCCTTCTCCAGGGGATCTTTGGCACCTAATTCCTCAAGATCCAAGGTGCAGGACAGCTCCTTCTCCTTTGGCACTATTCCTCCAAGATAGAGTGCAGGGACCAGCTCCTTCTCCTCCCAGACCTGGGAGTCCCTGCCTTGGGAGCCCGCTCTGGGTGGGGAACCTTACCAGCGGCACAGGTTCCCAGACCCTGGGGCCTCCTCAGCCCCAGTCATGCCTCAGGTCTGCTGGGGACCCAGGAGTCCCAGGCCTGGTCCTTCCACCTGCTGGACTTTATACTCAAAATTCCCCTTTCCCAGATCATTGGTGAAGCCAGAGGCCAGGGCGGGAAGGGGAGGAGGAGGAAGTGGAACCCAGCTCCCAGCCCTGCCCCGCTGGCCCTCACCTTCTCCTGCCGCTGCCTCTAGCTCTGACACTGGAGATGCCTCCGATCCTTTCTCAGTCCACATTAGAATCATCAGCCCAGCCCACTCCACCTTGTCCACAAATCTCCCTCTGCATCCAGTACTGGGTGCTGTCCCACTGCTGCGAAACGTGGAGTGCATTGGGGCAGAGGATGAGCCGGTGTTGAGGAGAGAGGCCAGCTGACTCACTTGCCTCCTTGCTGGGTGATCACATATCAAAGAGCAGCCTGGGGCTTAGACCTCGCGCCCCTCGTCCCTGGAGCACACTCTCCCATTCCAGGCTCTGGCCTTTCCCCTCGTCTCCCACAAGCCCCTGCAGCCCTCACAAAAAATGGGCCCAGCGGGTTCCCACCTCCTGATTTTGCCTAGACTGTCTCCCCCACCAGGTGCACCTGCCTGCTTTCCCCAACAGTCTCCTACCTACTCCTCCCATTAGGATTCAGCTTGATGACCCACGTGGGCGGGGTCTTTCTGGCCCAGTCCCAGGACACTGGGCGCTGTCTTCCACACCACAGACTCTTCTGAATTTGCATGGTATCTGCATAGTCATATTCATCATCAGATATACATCTGACCCTGGGCAAATGACTTAAGTCCTCAGTGACTCAGATTCTCCCACCTCTAAAGAATGGACACCCTTGTAAATATGCTAAGATAAATAGATGAGTTACACGTGGAAAGTCTTGGAGCAGGCCCAGCCTGTTTAAACACACGATGAATCTTAGTCATGTTTTATTTTTAGTTCATCCTAGGTCACCTGTGCTCAGAAGGGGCCGGACACCCAGGGCTTTTCAAAGTGTTTTTGTTGACTTACTAATTATGTGCACAGGTGAACTGCCTTAATCTCACATGTAGTCTGGAAGTTAAGAATACAAACTGGCCAGGCATGTTGGTGTGTGCCAGCCTCGGGAAGGCTGAACTGGGAAGATCACTTGAGCCCAGGAGTTTGAGACCAGCCCGGGCGACATAGCAAAACCCCATCTTTTGCAAAGAAAAACAAAAAGAAGAAAAAAATTACCCAGGCATGGTGCCGCCTGCAGTCCCAGCTACCCGGGGAGGCTGAGGTGGGAGGTCTTTACAAACTTGGGAGGTCAAGGCACATTAAGCTGTGGTTGTGCCATAGACTCAGCCTGGGTGACAGGAGTGAGTCCCTGTCTCAGAAAAAGAAAACAGCTGGGCATGGTTACTCTATGTCTGTAATTCCAGCAGCAGATTTGGGAGGCTGGGCGGAGGATCCCTTGAGCCCAGGAGTTCAAGACATCCAGCCTGGGCAACATAGGGAGATCCCGTCTCTATAAAAGTAAAGTAAATTACCAGGCATGGTGGTGCATGCTGTGGCTCCAGCTCCTCAGGAGGCTGAGGAGGGGAGATCAGTTGGCCCAAGAGGTGGAGGCTGCAGTGAGCTGTGTTTGCATCACTGCACTCCTTCCCTGGGGGACAGAGGAAGACTCTGTCTCAAATAAACAAAATAAATAAATAAGTTCTCACACCACTGCTCTTGGGAAGTCAGTTTCTCTGTCTCTGAGAGCCTCAGTTTCCCCCATCTGCACAGAGGTTTGGTTGTAGAAGTTTCCTTTTCAGTAGGCACCGGATGTCATTCCGGCCATGAGTTTCATTCTAACTTTCTCTGTTTCTCTGTTATATCTTAAATTCTCTTTAATCAGGCAGGTCTTGTTATGTTGCCCAGACTGGTCTCAAACTCCTGGGCTCAAGTGATCCTCCTTGGCCTCCCAGTCCTGGGATTACAGGCATGAGCCACCACCAATATCTCCCCTATACTTTTCTCTCTCTCTCTCTCCCTCCCTCCCTCTCTCTCCCCTCACTCTCTCTCTCTTCCTCTTTCTTTCTCTCTCTTCCCTCCCATCTAGATCTCCAACTTATAAACATGCTCACCCTCCCTGTCTGAAAAAAACCACTTGGGGTTGGCTCACACTCTGCTCTCCACCACACCTCATTGCCTTCTCTTCAAACCCAACTCCTTGGCCAGGCATGGTGGCTCACACCTGTAATCCCAACACTTTGGAAGACCGAGTGGCGGATCACCTGAGGTCAGGAGTTCAAGACCATCCCTGGCCAACATGGTGCCATCTCTGCTATAAAATACAAAAATTAGCTGGTGTGATGGTGCATACCTGTAATCACAGCTACTCAGGAGACTGAGGCAGGAGAATCACTTGAACCTGGGAAGCGGAGGCTGCAGTGAGCCGAGATCACACCACTGCACTCTAGCCTAGGTGACAGAGGGATACTCCATCTCAAAAAACAAAAAGCAGCCGGGCACAGTGGCTCAAGCCTGTAATCCCAGCACTTTGGGAGGCGAGGCGGGTGGATCACGAGGTCAGGAGATCGAGACCATCCTGGCTAACACGGTGAAACCCCGGCTCTACTAAAAATACAAAAAAGCTAGCCGGGGCGAGGTGGCCGGTGCCTGTAGTCCCAGCTACTCAGGAGGCTGAGGCAGGAGAATGGCGGGAACCCGGGAGCGGAGCTTGCAGTGAGCTGAGATCCGGCCACTGCACTCAGCCTGGGCGACAGAGCGAGACTGCTCAAACAAACAAACAAACAAACAAAAAAAGCAACAATAAAAAAAATCACCCACTCCACAAAATGGCCCACATTCCCCAGCTTCCAAAATCCTCATGGGTAGCTGCCTGTGTGTGGGAAGGCACACTAAAAACAAAACCTGTAGGACCTTGGATGTGGGCCCTCCCAGCTCCCAGTCCAGCCTTCATGAATGCGGTCCCAGCCAACATCTTATAACAACCTCCAGGAGAGACTTAGCCATGCTCCTTTTTTCTCCTTAAGAGCAGAAATTCCCAAGGAGCCACTAATGAGAGACCCTGTTAGCATGACCCTCACCACCTGAGTTCTTTTCAATTCCTCTTAACAGTGTGATAAGAAGCACCAAGACAGTGTTACTTGGTGTATATGATACCATCTCTAGCTCTGGTGAGCAGGCACCAGAGTCACCACAGTGGGGCAGCACGGGGCCTTGGCTCAGGTTTCCAAGAAGCAAGACCTGAGGCAAGGGTTCCAATTTTTCCTCATGAACTGAGGGTTTGCTTTCAGAAGAAAGAGAGTGATAGAAAGCAGTATGGGGCAGAGGGAAGGAGCCAAGGAGGCTATCACTTCAGAGGGATCCCATTACAAGAACAGAATCTGAACTTTTAACCTCTAATCTTTGTCTATAGGCTTCTCCAGGGGCCAAGGGGATTTCATGACTTTCCTAGCTAGTAAAACACACACATTTCCTCTCAGGTCAAGAGCAAGCAAGTCTCTATTTTTTCTTTTTTTTTTTTTTTGAGATGAAGTCTTGCTCTCATTCTGTCACCCAGGCTGAAGTGCAGTGGCACCATCTTGGTTCACTGTAACCTCCACCTCCCAGATTAAATGATT